AAAAAAGAAAGACATTTAAGGGAAATGAGGTTGTTGTTCTGTTTAGTTCATTTTTTCAGTAAGGTTTCCCTGTATGGTACAAACTGGCCTGCATTCTCCTGCCTCAGCCTCTTGAATGCTGAATCATAGGCATGCACTACTGCATCCATGTGAAGATGACTTTTTTGTGTGTGCTAGGAATTGAATTTACCACCTCACCAGGCAGGTGAGGCATCATGTCACTGAGCTGTATCTCCAGACCTGGAAATGATTTTTTACAAATTACTTTGAAGCTAATAATCCTAGTATTAGGAGGCTGAGGCAGGAGAATCAAGAATTCAAGGCCAGGGCTGGAGATTTAGCTCGGTGGCATAAGTGCCTGCCTGGCAAGCATGAGGTCATGAGTTCGATCCCCAGTACTGCAAAAAAAAAAAAAAGAAGAATTCAAGGCCAACCTGGGATACATAGTAGATCCTGTCTCACAAAACAAAAAAAAAAAAAAAATAAATTTTGAAATGTATTTCCACAAGAAAGCCATAACTGGCCTGTCTCCTGAGAAGGCCAAATTTGGGTTACTTATTCTTTGTAACCTGGAACATACAGGTCAAGACCTCAGAATAAATGTACATCTCTTGCTGATGCTTTTTAGTTAGTTTGTTTTTAGTTGGCTATACTTGGGGGTCAAGCCTAGGGGCTCATGCAGGGCAGGCAAGTGCTAGATTACAAGAGCACACCTGCACTCTGCTTCCTTGTTTGTTTCCATACTTTGGGCAATTTGTGTTGGGTGTTTTGCAAGAACATCAGTTACATCATGTTAACTGGGAATTCTGTTTCACTCTTCTAAATAAGCATAGGATGTGTTGGGGGGTTACCTGCGGGAGGGATGTTTGAAACAGGGACATGTAGTCCAGGTTAGCCTTGAACTCACTCTAGACAATGCCTCCTGAGTACATAGCTTATCTGTGCTTTTTTTTTTTCCCCTGTCTTTTTGAAACAGGGTAATGCAGTTCAGGCTGGCCATGTGCTCACTTTGTAGCCCAGGATGGTCATGAACTTGCAGCGATCCTCCAGCCCCAGCCTATTCAGTGCTGGCATGTGCTACCATGCCTGGTTATCTGTGCTTTTTAACTTTAAAAAATTAAAAAAAATTAGTTTGTATTTTTGAGAAAGGCATATTTGTCTAAAGTTTATGAGGCCAAATTGTAGTATGTGAAAATTTGACACAAAAAAAGTAGTCTCCCATGGGTACTCACTCAGTTTATCTGTTTCTTCTGGTACATATATTTATAAATATGTAAACATGACCTTCTCTTAAGTAATCCATGCCAGCTATCATCTATGGACTTAAGATGGTAGAGGAGGATTTTAAGTCTGTTCATACTTCTCCCCTGTGCTTACTAGTGCTAGATCATAATCTTACTAAACTCAAAGCCACTTTTTTTTTTGTCATCACGTATGCTGAGACAAGTGACACTGATTACATTTCCTTTCTTGTGAAATTTGTTTTTCCTGGAGTTAATACTTGTCTCCTTTTTATTGGCCTAATTTTTGTAGTTGTATTTTCCCAAACTTTTCATTTTCTGAAATGTGGTGGGAGTTTTACTGATTTCAAATGGGGGTATCATGTTTCAGTGCAAACTCACATCCCTGCTACCCCGCTAATGTCAGGAGATGAGGAATGAATCCAGTTTCTGATCCTTGGTATTTGCTTAGTTTAAATAAACTTTCAACATTTTTCCTACACAGCAGCTTTTCAGAAGTAATGACTGTTATTCCCTGGAACCTTGGAACTATCTAGTGTCAGTAAATTTTTGTCCTGTCCTTCTTTCTCAGAACTGATTCTACATTTTTAGAAATAAAGGTTATGGGGGCTGGGGATTTAGCTCAGCGGCATAAGTGCCTGCCTTGTAAGCAGGCAGTCGTGAGTTCGATCCCTGGTACCAATAAAAAGGAAAAAGACAAAAAAAAAAAAAAAAGAAATAAAGGTTATTCTTAAAATAATTGACCCATGCCCAGGCCATTTAGTGCAGTATTCATGCCTTTTATTTATGGTCCTCTTATGTTACCTTTTATTTGCATTTAGCTATTTGCAAATCTGTTTTTCCACTTAGACTATAAATTGCTCAAGGGAGAAAAGTGCCTTTTTTCTTTTTTCTTTTTTTTTTTGGTTTTTTGAGACAGGGTCTCACAATGTAGTTCAGGCTGGCTTTGAGGTCACTGTGGAGCCTAGATGAGTGTTGAACTAGCCAAGAACCTCCTGCCTCAGCCTGCAAAGTGCTGGAATTATAGGCATGCACCACCATGCCAGGTCAGAGGTGCCTTTTTAAAAATTCACTTTTGGATTCTGGTAGTTTCTTAACACAGTGCCTTGGCCTTAGCAGGCTCTCCATAAATGCATATTAAATTCACACAGGTGGACAAATGAAGTTATGGCCCTGTCCAATCCTGAGCCCTCAAGCCCTGATAACTTTCAGGTCCTTTCTGGTTGCCAGAGAGCAAGCCTTGCGTGCTGGGGACCGCTCGGCGGGCGTCGCCGCCCCACCCCCAGAGCTGCCTCTGCAAGTTGCAGTTGGGAACAGCAGCCCAAGTTCCCTGGCAGCGGACCAGGCGCTGTGTCCCCAGAGGTGGTAACATGTTGACCATCGCAGGAGTCCGAGAACAAGAGGTCGTTTCTCGGAACTAAAATCCGCTCTGGCGATCTGGGGGAAGACGCCTGCAGGCCGCGCTTTCTCCGGGGACAGCTGCCCTGCTGCCCCCGACCAGGGGTCAGTGTAGCCCGTGGAGGTCGGGGAGCAGGCGCGGCGCCCCGGTCCCCCCTGCCAGCCTGGGGGACGCCCGCGCGGCCAGCGGCCCGGCCTGCGGCTCCGCGGTCCCACCACCGGGGACAGCGCCACCCGCGCCGCCCGGTCAAAATGGCGGCCGGCGTGCAGCTGCCCGCGCCCCTGGGACAGGCGACAACAACCCCCAGCGACGCACGCAAGCTGTGTCTCTGGGCTGGATGCCGCTTGTCATTGGACCGCAGTGACCCAGAGGACCGAGGCCTACCTCTTCCCTAGACAGGTGCCCTGCCCAGCGCCAGACCTGTGCAGGCCCTTAAGAGATGTTGTATCACCCAACACCCGAAAGACTCCCGTTACTGGCTAGGATAAGTAGCATCCGGGCTAGACATGGTGGACATAAGACCAGCGGGGACAGCTGGGTTGCTGCCTCACACCTAAGCCATTTGCTCCAGTCTTTGGACACTTAGGGCACACACTTGCACAATACCAGTGACGGCATTGAGGGCAGCATGCCCTTTAAAACACAAGGCCCACTGCTCTTGAAGTCAGAAATAGCCTGGAAAAATCCAGTATGTCTGCTTGTGAAATCCATAGCATTAGCTTGTAAAGGCTACAGAAAATGTGCGGGCCCTGGCATTGGCTCTGACATCGGTATGCACACTATATAGGCTACCTTCCTCTTAGAACCCCGAAACCTTAGGTCCAATTTACCAGAAATGAAATTGATGAATGTAGTACATTCTGAGTGATCCACCCCTCCAGTTGGGAGGTCAGGAGACCCCTCCCCCCCCAGCTGATAAAGGTAGAATCACAATGGTCTGTTCCAACAGAGAAATACCCAGAAAAGCCTCCTAATTACCCTTTGTAAACTGTAGGCTGATATCTCCTGCGGGTTCAAGGTTCTGTCTAAAGTTTGCATGTTGCATATCAGCTCAGTATGAGAGGCTGAATGTGAACTTCTTGGTTTTGTTTTGGAGAAATAAAGTCCTTCTGCATAACATTTGCTCCAACTTGTTATTCTTTTGGAAAACACTTTCTCCACCCAGGTAGCAGCCTCTCCTTCCTTCTGCAATCCCTCTTTTAATTACCTGTCTTTTGCCCCAGTTTAGGCAGCCCCAGCACTTTGTTCCAGTACACTAATAAACCCAAGGCTGAGCCTAATCCTCTGTGGTCCTGACCACCCCGGCAGTGAGCCGGCTGCCCATAGGCCCTCTGGATCCCCCAGCTTAGAACCATAGAGGGGCTGCTTGGTGTGCCTCTTACCAGGTGCACACTTGCTGCTTTTCAGAAAGGTTTTTTTTTTTTGTCTTTTTCCTTTTTATCGGTACCAGGGATCGAACTCATGACTGCCTGCTTGCAAAGCAGGCGCTTATGCCGCTGAGCTAAATCTCCAGCCCCCAAGAAACAGTACTTCTCCAAAAATAAACACACAGAGTTCAGAAGAGGCCTTTGGAGCTAGGCATCCATGAGCTGGGGTCATCCTAGCACCAAGCTAACCATCCAATTTCTGGGGGTTTTTTGGTACCAAGAATCAAACTCAGGACTTTGTGTTTGCTATGCAGGTGCTTGTACCCCAGCCCTCAACCATCCAATTTCTAAACCGTAGCTAGCACTAAAGGCTACCGCTGACCTTGTGGCCACCTAATTCCTCAACTAGCACTAAACTGTAGAGGCTGGGGCATCTCAGCTGCACCCACCTCCAGCCCCCTTGCCCCTCTTGGTGAGGCAGTAACCTTAAACTGAATGACAGGCGGCCAGCAGAGCTGGTTCGGTGACAACTCCCTGGAGACAGCCGCCTCTAGCAGCAGGCCCCATCTGTGGCACAGCTGAACGAGTTAAGCTGCCCTGGGCTTGATCAGTCTGGGGTGAGGCCTGAATGGGAGAGAGCTAGCCAGAGCCCCAGGCAGCCTCAGCTTTACAAACCCCAAGTTGCAGGAGGAACGTGGTCTGCCCCCTCCCAAAGTGCTGCTTGAGAGTAGCGGAACACCTTGTCAGAGCCTAGGGCAATGCCCTCTGAGTCGGGCCCACTGTGAGGCTGTGCTAGGGGGTCTTGGAGCCGCGGGGAAGAATGTGTTAGAGGTCAAGGGCCTTTTGGTCAGCGAAGGCGAGTCTTCATCCAACAAGCAGCAAGGAACAGCAGCACTTAACCCTCGGACTGCAGTAGCAGAGATGGGCCCAAGATAATAGCAGGCAAGGGAGGGGCAGACTTCACACAGCCCCAGGTGCAGTAAAGGTTACCACTTCTCCGGTTAGCCATTCTCCGCTGATCTGCCACCTCCCAAACGCCCTGCAGGTCAGAACCTTGGCTGCGCTGGCCCCCCATCCCGAGGCCGTAAGGGTCAGCCCACCTGACCCTGCTTGGGCTTCACAAAGGCCGTGTGCCGCTGGGACAGACCAGAAGCGGCCACGACTCTCAGATCTTTAATTACGCTTGGAACCCCTACCCTTCCCCCCACCCCATCGCCAGCTTCCAGCCCTTTAATCAATTTCACGATATTAAATATTAATTTCCCGCCAGCTACACTTTCTCAGAGGAGGGGGAGGGGACAGGCAGGGCAGCTGCCAAGGAACAGATAGCTTTGCAGGGCGTGACCAGGGTAACTGGGGGCGGAGGACGCGCGGGCTTCTAAGTGACCTCCGCTCCGAACTCAGAGCCACCGGGTTTGCGCTCTGCAGCTGGGGAACTTGGAGAGTTCTGAACGCCGGGTACAGGCCTCTGGGAGGGGCAACGAAGTGCGCTGAGCGTCCCTAGTGCTGGGCGGCCGCCTCCTGCTCTGCACCCCCCACCTCCAGTCGCAAGTCAGCTTCACGCGAGCCCGCGGCGCGCTGCGATGATGGATCGCGCCTGGCGGGGGTGATTTGGTGTTGATCGCACATTATCACTGGCAGGTTGGACTGGTTGCTGATGGACGACTTCTAGCGGCGGCGGCAGCACCGTCTTCAGACACCGCGCAGGAACTCACTTGCGCAGGGTCTCACACTGCCCCCCACAACCATCCTCCATCCCGCTTCCCGGAGTTTGGAGGGTCTGGGAGGAGTGGAGCGTCTTCCATGCGCCCAAGGCCGCGCTCCGGTGCGGGTCCTGGTGTGGGCCGCAGGCCAGGCGAGGAGGGGAATCAGGACGCCTCTCCCACTTCCTCTCTTTTCTCTTGCTTTTGCAGCCTGCTTCCCCATCGAAACCTGAAGGGTCATGGTCACTCCACCAGTGATTTCCCCATCGCTCAGCCCTGGCAGCGGGGGTGCAGACCCTACCGCCGAGGTCTGCGACCCTTTCCCCTGGCTCGCAGCAGCAGCAGCGCTGCGGTGCGCCCCTCCTCGCTTCTTTTACTAAAGTGCCTGCAGATACAAAAGCGGTTTCGTAATGCCTTCCGTCTGCGAGAGCCGGAGGACCTTGGCTGACCTTTCGGAAACTGATTGCAACTGCCTGTTAACAGCCCGTACTGACCGCACTGAACGGAGCGGAGGACAATCATTTAAGTGACAGACGGCGAGGTGGCCCCAGCTCAGTCGAGCGGCCTGGTTAAGCCCGCCCCTCCCCCACTCCTCTCCGCTTCAGCCCCGGGTGCACTGCGGGCCGTGGCGGGCGCTCGGGCAAGCGAGGAGGGCGCACTAGCGAGCGTGTGAGCGTGTGTATGTGTCCGCGACTACCGGCCGGGGAGTTAACCCTTTGCCGCGCAGCCGGCCCCTTTGAGACCTGGCACTGCCCGCTTAATCTCCCATCTGCAAAAAGAGGAATAAAACGGCCGCCTCCGCCGACTTTACCTAATGCGTAAGCTGTACCCTTTTAGCGTGACCCGGGCTGCGCTCCTGCTGCTGCCGGGGAAGGATCCCCACCCTCGGCTCTTCTGCCAAGGCCCTGTGACCCCTCCCTTCCCTGCACAGACAGCCACAGATTCAAGGAACAGCACGGGGACAGCGTAACTGAGCCAAAGACTCGGAGAGACTCGCGGTGCAGTGGACTAGGGTGTTCCTTGTGTTTTCTGTTTTGGAAACTGGAGGGGGGCCTCGTAACGGGAAGGCGATGTGGGGGAGGGAGGCTGATGACAGGGCACCTCGGGCTGCGCTTGTTCCCTCTCTCCGGAGAGATCGCCAGCTGCTCTCCAACAGGCAGCGCCCTGAAATCTATTTAAAGAGAGGGAAAGGGGAGGAGAACAAAGGGGGAGGAGGGGGCGGCGAGTGGAGCCTGGGCGAGAGCGAGCGAGTAGGGAGGATCCGCCGCTCCGCGGGCACATCAAGCGCTCACATCTGTACACTCCGCGATCGATGGGGAGAATGGATAATATTTGTCAGCTGCAGACCTTTCTCTTCCCGGTTCCTGGGGAGGGGAGGGGGCGAGGGAAGGGGGAGGGGCGGGCAGGCCAGGCGAGAGAGGCCGCCTCAAGGACAGCGCGCTTCCCGCTGCAGCCACACGGAAACCCAGAGCCATGAAAGCCGGGGATTTTTCTCTTATTATCATTATTAATTATTTTTTATTATTCCACAGCAGTCCGCGAACGCTCGGCGGCGCCCCTCCCCCGTTCGCCCGCCGCCTCCCTTTGTTGATTCTCAGCTGCCAGCGCAGCGGGGCCAGAGCTGCCGCTGCTGCCGCCGCCGCCACCGCCACCACCGCCACCGCCACCACCACTGCCGCCGAACACGATCTGCTCTTGCGCCTTCGGTCGCAGCTGCGGCTCAAGAAGCCGGGGCTGCGTCCCCGCCACCCCCCCCCCCGCCAGGCTCGACAGCTCCCGCACCCCCTCCTCGCAGCCCACCACGAGGCCAGCAGTTTCTCCACTGCCTCTCGCTGCGTCTCCCAGTCCCCAACGCCTAGCCCGGGCGCTGGCTACTGCGACCTGGGGCCTCGGGCTGTGCGGGGGGCCTTCGCCACCCCCTTCCCCCGCGGCTGCACTCTGATGTCGCCATCCTCACACATGGTCTTCATTTCGCACACTAGCGGCGTGCTTCCTCTCGGCTCCTCTCCTCGGGGCTTTTCGGAGCGTGGAGGGAGATTTAGAGGAAGTTAGAAACCCAGCGAGCCCTGGGGAAAGGGGGAAAACCCTCGCTCGAAGTCTGAGCTTCAGAGACAGAGGGGAGCCCCCCATGGGGGATGTAGCACAGGCCAGGTGCCCTTCCTTGGGTGCAGGGAGGCTAAGTAGTGGGTTGGCAGTTAGGGGAGCGATCGCAAGTTTGCTTTCTCTCGTCCCCTTGCCTGCTCTTGCGTGCCAAGGAACACTGATCCGGCACCCTTGGCTCGACTGAGCCAGGGCGGGAGCCCATGGAACAGGCAGTCATCAAATGAGACCAAGGACATCTCAGACTCCCCTCCTCACCCTCCGCGCCAGTGAACTCCCTGGGCCTTTGCCCCCCCCCCCCCATACACACACACCGGGATGAAAGTCCAGAGCCAACGCCCCACAGACCCTCAAGCCCTGGCCCACTGGAGTGGATGAGGGCGGTGTGGGCAGAAAGCTGTAGTTGGGGTTTACTTGCTGCTTCGGCCCTCCTCCCCCATGCTGTCGTCCTGCGATTCCGGGCCAGCCTGCTGCGGCGTCCCCGACTGCTCCGCGGTCCTGGGCAGGGCAGGAAGCTGGCACGGCCGCTGGCTGGGCAGGCGCCACTTGGCTGGGCCGACTCCTCGCTGGAACTTTCGCGGCACCTTCTCCCCGAATCGAGTTCCCGAGTCTTGGCCCGGTCACCCCGAGCGGCTCCCCCCACACATACTTTGTCCGTGGGCCTCTCTCGGAAGTCTCCCTGCCTCTCCCCGCCCTTTCAGCTTTGCCCTTCCTCTGTATGTCTTTGGAGCTTCGTAACGCAATCAGCTACGCTTCCCGAGATTCAAAAAGTTTTGTGTTTCTCTAGGAGCCTAATGCTCCCCTTGTTTTCCGGAACAAAGCAGACATTCAGCGGGGAGGGGCAGGCACCGACTCTCTCCACTTCCCCAAGCACTCAGCACCCCGGCAGGTTCAGAACACTGGCTTCGGGACCCAGGTGGACTGGGGGTGGGGTAGGGGCTTTCTTTCCTCTGGGTCGGCCCCAAAACCCTGACCCTGGAGCGCGAGAGGAGACGGTGTTTGGGTGACGTTCCCAGCTCTGGCTGGAAGGGCACGCTTGCGGCTGTTTAGTGTGCTGTGCTGCTGGAAGCTCACTTGCCGCCGCTTGACAGCATGGGGCCCCCGCGGGCTGCCACCTCAGTGGAGGCGCGCAGCAGTGAGCCCCCGGCACTGGGCCCGAGGCCTCTGTCGCGCTGGGGCCTGGGCGCGCGCCGGGGAAGATCGAGGTCTCCAGTTTGGAGTTGCTTCTCCAGCCACACATCCTTCGCCCCCAACAATAGGTAGGGTGGCACATCAAAGGGCCCAGGGTAGGAATGCAGAACACACTGGGGAAGCTCGCAGCAGTGCTCACGCCTGGGTTCTGAGCATAGCGCTTGGGCCGTCCCAGGCATGAGTTCTCCAAGCCCGGTGAAGGCAGGATCTCACTCTCGCGACTCAAAGGGGCTTTTCCCTTTGGGTAGTGCTCTGCAGACCCACCAGCTCCTGCCACCCTGCCTGGTGGACTTCCCTCTACCCTGCCGCGGGCAGAGCGCTGCACTAGGTGTGCCCACGCGCGCCGGGCCTTCTCATAGGCGCAGTGCTGCCTTAGATCCCGCTCCAGTTCTTCCCTTCTCCCCGGCCTGTGGCCGGCACCGGCGCCTCCGGAGCGGCCTGAAACTTGATCCCGTGTCGGAAGGACAGTGTGTAAACACCAGGCGCGCTCCGAGAGCCCACGGGAGGGGCCGGAGGAGGGCCGCTCGGGCAGCTCCGAGGCCCCGCGCCCCCGCCCGCCTGCTCGCCCCGGGCACGATCTGCAGGGCCGCCGCCTCGCTCTCTGCCTTCCCAGTTGGCTCAGCTAATTGGAGCCGCCGCCACCGCGGCGGCCTCTTGTTGAATTTTCTAGATCGCAACCGTTCAGTCGTGGCTGCCTGTGGCTCCCCTCCCCCTCCCACAGCTGTTATCTCGGCAGGCAACTTGTTGGTGGTGGGGACAGTGCCTCTGCTGACCCTAGGCTCAGACTCCGACTTCACCCCAGCAGTTCAGGACGGGGTTTCCTCAGTTGTGAGTGGGAGGTAGCATCTTATCTGGCACTGTGACACTTTGAGGCAGGATCCTAGGTTCTTCATCCTATCTAGGTGTTCTTCCCAATGAAAAGCATTGATCCTCTCCGCCTTACACCAAGACATGGTGACAGTCTAGAGGTCCAACTTCACTAGCGACTTAAATTGTTTCCAGGAAAACATTACAGAACTACTGAGTAGTGGGAAGCAGGAAGGTTCCCCCCTCTCTCCTGCCCTGTCCCCCTTCCCTGCCCACTCATGGGCATTTGAGACTTGGTATATATATAGGTCCTTCCTGGAGCCAGGCTCTCCTGCATCTAGGGTATAGCCCATCCAAATGCTACAAGGCTGCTTTCCTTCTTGGTTAAGTACCAGGTGCATCTAGGGAGGCATGGTACCCTTAGTGGGTTCTGAAGGTACAGCAGCTTTCCCAAGCTGGATGGTAGTGGTTCACCTCCTCTGTCCCAGCCATGGTCTACCTGCATCTTTTTTTTTTTTTTTTTGGGCAGAGAATCAAACTCAGGACCCTGTGCTTGCCAGGCAAGTGCTTATGCCTCTGTGCTATATCCCTGGCTGCTGCCTGTACTTTGTGCTAGAGGCAAACTGTCCAACCTGAAAGCTGTCAGGTCTGTGTGGGCTGCAGCAGGCCCAGTGCTTGACCTGTGGTGGACAGAGGAAAGTGAAACAGTTTGATAGACTGAGAACATCTTTTGCTGTGCTTGGAACTCTTGCCACTGGGTTTCACAGGCCCAGGGCCCAATGTTGTAAAACTAGCAGCATGCCAGTTCGGAAGTGAGTAAATACAGGCAGGTGAACTTCCAGGAGGCTGAGTGTAGGAGCTACCACCAGGGCGTCTGCACCAGTCAAAGGAGCTGCTTTTCATGTGCCAGTTCTGAAAAGGGCGCCTAGTCCCTTGTTCCCTTTGATGGGCTCTCTGACAACTGTTAGGGAGCAGAGTGGAGGCCATTAGGGTTCATTAATTATCATTTCCAAGCACCTATCTTCATTTCTTTTATCTAGATAAGTACGCTAAGGTCTTCCTGGGTTGTCCTTCTAATTTGTTGATAACCAGAGCAAGAGTTCCCACTCAATCCATATTGTTTTTTTTTTTTTTAAACTGGTACCAGGGATCGAACTCACGACCACACACTTGCAAGGCAGGCGCTTATATACCGATGAGCTAAATTCCCAGCCCCAATCCATATTGTTTTAAGCTATATATAGTAGAAAGGAGATGTATCAAAATAACAATTTGGTGTTTGGGATGATACTTCGGTAGGTCAAGTTCACCTAGTGCTCTGGCAACTCATGCTGCAGGCTCTTCCAATCAGATAACCTACCCATGTGTCTCCTATTGTGTCTCTTCTTCTGTAACAGAAAAAGAAAAGACTCCTCTGAAAGATGTTTATTCTCCTTGACTCCTACCCTCAGGCTGCAAGAGTCTTATTCTGTTTAGGGCAAACTATGTTTCTATATTTTGATAAAGAAAAGAAAAATTTGTATTCTTCTTCAGACCTCAAGAGAGAATTATGTATCCCAGGAGTTTACTCATCTCCTGGCTGTTTAATAGACAATCTGAATTCTGACTCTGGAGCAGGATTACTTTCATGTCCCAATCTCCTCACTTCCTTCCCTTTGTCACCTTGTCACCACCCTCCACCCATCCCCAGGCCTGAGGTTCCTGTCCCAAAGGCTGAGTATACCTCTGAAGACCCTGCAATTTGAGTATACACATTTCTTTTACAGAGCAAAGAGTATACTGAGCCTTTGGGATTCCTGCTCCAGCTCCCTGAAAGCTTATGCCAAGAGCACCCTATGAGGTCCGTGGTGATGGATGTTATGAGGCCCAGGGAAAGAGCCACCGTGGTGGGAAGAGTTGAGTGCCTGCATGCAAGGCTCAGACCTGAACCAAACCAAAGAGCAACCAAAAAAAAAAAAAAAAAAAATACACCTGGCTGGTCGCCTGCTTGAAAATAAACCCTACCTTCCTACCACCCTCCTCCATCTGTGTAACTAGTGAGTCCCCGGGGCATTCCATTCCTTGGCTTCTCTTTAGTTCACTTTAAGAATGGTGCTGTTAAAGCATATCAGGAAGCTGAGACACATCTACCACTCCTCACTTCCCCTGGCGCCTGGCTCAGCTTGGTTGAACTTGCTGTTCCTGTCTTTTTAGAGGAGCTGGTTGTGTTCCTGAAGCAGGATCACACTGTGCCTCCTCCCCAGGGGTCCCCAGCTATTGATTTTTAATATCCGTATTCAATATTGTGTATTAAATATTGAATCCATGCACGAGAGGATGTGATGCAAATCACCAGCCGTGCCTGAGACTTTAATAGTTGTTTTATTGCCCGGAAACCACAGTTGGACGCAAGGCATCCTGCAGCCGACGCTGGGGGGTGGGGATGACAGGCAGAGACTGGAGGGCTGGGTAGAGTAGGGCCTCCCAAGGAATACCCAAGGCCTCTGAAACAGCCATGGCTGAAGGCACAGGGAGGCACTCACAGCCTCCCACCCCTGCAGGCAGGTGGGGGCCAGCCCCAGGCTGCCATGCAAAGAATAGGAAGAGGTGTGGGGCTGTGTCTTTCCTTCCTGTACTTCCCTAACTGGACTGTCCATTCCTGTCCAGCAGTTCCCCTTCCCTTGCACACAGATACAAACCTAGACAGGCATACACACGACTACTGAACAGGAAAGTGAACTTTGGGCAGGAAACCCAGGCCTTGGGCAGCCCCCACTAGCTTGGCTATGTGGCCTTAATTCAGACCTCTCTTAACCTCTCTGAGTCTGCTTCCCTTCTCTGAGATGGGGGTAATGCTATCTGCCCTGCCTTCCCCACAGCTGGCCGAGGCTGGCGCACATGAGATAATATTCAGGGAAAAGGCTTTTGTCAACTGTTGGGCCCCACATAGGCAGGCTGAGGGATTAGTGCTGGCTTTCCCTTTATGCTCCTCCTCTCCTGAAGGCTGGGACTCCCAGCTGCCTACTTTCTGAGAGGAGCCCCTTCCTCATTGAAGGCTATGCCTCTGCTCAGTTGGTCACCTCTGCTTGGTCTCCCCGGCTCCCTGCCCTTCCATGCTGCATTGGGGCTAGGCAGTCTGGTTTGGAGGACTCCCAGCAGGGAGACAGGAAGGGCAAGACTGCCCCTGTGTGTGTGTGTGTGTGTGTGTGTGTGTGTGCACACGCGCGCGCGCGTGAGCGTGCAAGCAAGCAAAGCAAACAGCAGTGGGGAAGCTCTGTTCACTGGAGGGAAAAAAGGTGAGCTCTGCAGCTGCTGGCCTGGGCTGCAGAGCCAGCCCCAGAGGGGAGCAGAGAATGGGGCTCTAATGAGACCAGTGAGTGGCCATGGGTGGGAGGAGTCTCAGAGAACCTGAGTCTTGGGAGCTCTTCCCTAATAACACTGCTGGTCTTTGCATAAGTCCAGCTTGACTCCTGATTGCTAGAAGGTCAGGCAGAGGCAGCACCCTAAATGTATTGCCACTGGGAAGCCCAAAAGGAAATTGGGTTTGGAGGTAACTGCTTCCTACAGCCACCAAGTCAGATATACACTTGCCTGAGGCCCCAGTAGTGGAGACACTAGCTTTCTGATGACCAGGCTCCCACTGCATCTCACGGCCTTTGTCCATGGCTCAGGGAAGGAAGGAGACTAGAGGGGTCAGACCAGTGAAGACAGTCCTAGGGCCCCAGCTATACACTGGGAAGGCCCTAACAGACATACTTGGCCCCCACAGGCAGCTCAAAGACCAGCTTTGGCTGCAGGCTTCACCAAGAGATAGCAAATTCATATTCGCATCCCCAGGCTTACAGACAGACAGGTATGGCAGGCAGGGCCTGGCTGCACAAGCCTCTGTGTTAGGGCTTGGGCTGCTACTGCAGCCAGTGTTTCCCAGTCTGCAGCTGAACCTCCCTGGCTCTGTCCTCCCGCTCTATCTCGCTGTCAGCTTCTTGCTGTCCTCGATGGTCTCCCTGGTCAGCAGGTCTGGCTCTGCTTCCCCAAGGGCATGGGCCTTCACGCAC